TCAGTTTTCAAGCTGGAAGAATTTGTTTGTTTGTTTTCTTGACCCCTGCTCCACAAATTCTGCCTCTTTCTGCTCATACCAGATGGAATCCTTCCTTCTAGGGAAATGACCACCTGTAAGAAAACTGAAAGGAAAGCCTGGTTAACACCGCCATGTTGCAGCAGTGGAGAAAGCATACAATGCTGTGATTTATTTAATTATTTATTTTTATTCCAGCAGAGCTTTGGTAGGTAGCCAGATGATTCTGCCAGTTCTTGATGCCAAGTGGTGGCCAGTCCAGTTCCTGGTGTTTAATTAGTCTCCCTTCCATTTCTGCTCAGAAATAGTAGGATATGGATGGATATTCCTAATAGAAAATGTGCGTGAATTTTCCTCTCTCAATTATACTGCCAAGTATGGCAAAACTGCACAGCGAAATAGGATCAGAACCTGGTGCAGTCAGCATGTTAACTTTATGAAGAATTTGAAGAATTGCATGTCTCTGGTTGCAGTGCTTTGTATTACAGGCAGTGACGCTCCTGATGTATCAGTGGGAGCCATAACAGCCAAGAGCACCAAGCCGCAGCATGTATGAAGTGGAGGTTTTGCAAGAACTTTGAATTCCTCTGTACCCGTTGTACAAATTTGAAAAGTCACTGCTTGAAGACCTTCAATCATGCTGTGCAGAATGACAACGCAATAACCTTTTCCAGATGGAGTCCTGAGAGTGCTTTCAATTAGGAGTTTTACAGGGAAAGGGTTTAGAGGGACGTTAATTTAAAGCTTTTGGCCACGGGGTTGCTTTTTGGGAAGTACTCACAATGTGATTGCTTGGAAGCAAACTAGAGCTATGTTTGAAAACAGTCGAATACTTGAGTCTCTGTTTTGCTCCCACAGCCCAAACAGTGACTCTGCGGTTGCGTGATAACTCGGTATTAGAAGAATGGAGTTTAGTGTTGGGGTTTTTGCATGTTATCAAGGCAGGCTTACAGCTGCAGTTACAGAAGAGAAACCCAAGAACCAGGTTTTTACTGGTATTGGTGCTGTTATGGTTTAAATGAAGCCACTGCAAGCTCAGTACTAGCTAAGGGCTAATCTTAAATCTGGAGGTGCTACCCAAGTGCGCGGCATATGCTGTGTGCATCCCTTCTGGTGTCCCCTGATCATCTTCGGCTTGCTGGAAGAAGCGACTTGCCCGTTCACAGCTGTGTTCAACTGTGGAGATAAATACAGGCTAGAAGTGCACTTTGTCTGTTTAGTCTTGGTGCTGCTGTATGGAAATTCCTGCGAGTCCTGCAGTTGGAACAGAAAGCTGGATGCCTGATGAAATGAATGTGCTGCAGTGTGCCAAGACTCTTCCTTGGTTTCATGCAGAAGGCGAGGCTTACGGTAGCACTTTGCAATGTCTCAGAACGTCTTTGCAATTGAAAGTGCTGGTTTTGGTCAAGATGAAGCAGCTCGGTACCATCCCTGCGCCCTTCCCGCACACCTATGGGCTAGCACGGTGCTGAGTGGCCCAGGGAGCTCAGCTCCACTTCTCTCCAGTTTCTCTGCATGATGCTTAATAGCACAGAGTAACAGAAAAGGAGTTAAGAACTGGTGACTTTCTCTGTTAGTTTTAGTGTGATTCTTCCATAAATTTAAGAGCAACTAGGATGTAATTTTCACGCACGCGCCTCTCTGGACAGTTATTCACCCTGTTTGTTGTGTGTCTCCTGTGCTGCAGCTGGGGGAAGAGAAAGCTTAAGAGAGGAAAATGTGAGTGTAAAGAAACTGCCTGGTAGTGGCTCTCCAGAGCTGGAACAATATTTGAAATTTGTCTTAATACTCTTGGGAAGAATTGCATTTCAAGTGGATGTCCCTTTAATTAGAACTGCTAATAGTGCCAGGAGCTGGCATTTGCAGCTGCGCTGCAGGCAATTTAGCCGAACTCGTGCTTGCTCCGTCAGAGGGAAGCATCTCCAAGCGTTAGCTGTAAGTAAGATCCTAAAAATGTCGCTGTTGCCAGGCTGTGGAGGGGACTTGCTGAAAAAGGGGCCTGTGCTGACTTGTCTTTGCTGAGATCCTTTTTCCAGTCCAAACAGAAATCCCCCTGGAAAGAGAGGGTTAGAGAAAGACTCACAGCTTGGTATTTGAAAGCTGAGAGATGCAGGAACTCCTCTGTGCTGACTCCGAGAGCACCCCTCATGGCTCAGTAAGATGGCAGGATTGTCCGTGCCGTCAGTGGAGCAGAGTGTTAAGAGCTCAGCTTGGAGTGTGGAAAAACTCCAAGGAGCAAAACTGCAATCAAGTAGGGTAAAGGAGTGAAACCGTGACTAAACCCAAAGAAATGACTGTGCTGTAGGGCTGTTTGATCCCCTGCCCTGGGAATCATCCCACCCTCTCCATACAGCCGTAGAGCAGCAGAGGGTCTCCAAAGAGCAGTACAGCATTTTTAGGACAGTGCTGCTAGCCCTCACTCTGCAACGCTGCTCTGTATTGCAGGGTGGCAGTGGGAGCCCTCGCTGGAGAGGCTGCCTGGCCTCACTGTCCTTGCTCCTTGCAGCCGTGCGTCCCGAGCGTCAGCAGAACCAGAGGTGAATCTGCCGCAGGGAGGAGCGGGAGCAGCTGAGGGCTGCATGCTGTGGGCTTGGGAGAGCGGGAGGGAGCCTGATTCTGTCCTTTGCAAGCTTGTTCATCCAATGGAGGGCCAAAATCCGGTATCTCTTTCAGAACTGAAGCATGGAGCCGTGTGCCTGCTCTCAGCCTCAGCCAGCTTAGGCAGTTTGCCGGTAGGTGACCACCTTGACGGGAGGAGCACGTTATAGAGAAAATAGAGAGAAGCATTCTATTATAGAGAAGCTAGACTGACCTCCTTCCCTGTGTACTTTTCAACGAGAAAAGAGCCTTCCCTTGTGTTTCCAAAGGGTGTCTTTGAGTGCCTGTCAGTGTATGCAGCAATGTTGGGATCTGGTTCAGCTGTGATGTTCTGTGTTTCTTGGGTAGCTCAATAACAGCCATTTTGGGGAGCAGCGGAGGCCCCTTTCAAAGACATCTGCTGTGCTCAGAATGGCACAGGGAGCTCGCAGAGGACCATTTTAACAAGCTCACAGGGCAAGCACGTTGTTGCTAGCGGTCCCTTGGGGAGCGGTGCTCCGGGGCCATGGGTGAGGCCGGCAGCAACCTGACTTCCCGTGCTGCATTTTGTGTTGCATTTTCCCTTTGTTCTGTGCATTGTTGCGAGACTTGATGCTGTGTCCTGACCCAGGAGAGTTAATGCTGGAAGGTCTCGCACTGCAGCACAGCAGCTAGAAGGGGAAAAGGGTGGGGGAATGAGGTCATTACAGACCTATCGGTGTGAATTAGGCAATGACAGCTGAAACCTTATCACCCTGGGGCTATTTTAAAAACAAGCCTATCTTGCAAATAGGCTCAGTTTGGAATCTTTGTTAGCTGGTGGGGAGTTTTCAATAAGCAAGGGTGCTAGTTATAATGAGACAATTTCTCTTACGCCTAAATTAGCCTTTTTTTTTTTTTTGGGGTCCCTCAGCTATCTTTGTATACTCAACGACTTGTTGTGCACTTGACTTTGAAGAATTGGATGGTAGGGAGGAAGCAAGTCTGTCTATTTTGCCTTTTCTTGGGAGGCCACCTGCCAAATGAGATGCCTGGTGTGACTTTTTCAGCATAATTAACAAGAAAATAGCCTTTCAGGAAAAAAAAGAAATTGTTAGAAATGACACACTAGCAGTGAACCATTTTGTTTCTGAACAATTCCTTTATGTTTGGTTTTGGTCTGTTGAAGTGATCCTTAACACAGTGAGGGATTCTCTGGCCCAGTTCTGAAATGGGAAGCCCTAGCATAACTGCAGACATGGGATTTATTCCATTGATTACAGCAATATCGGGGCTTGACTTAAAAGTCATCACAGTTTTGAGATGTGCAAAATTTACTGCTGGAGTTTTGCCTTGAGAAAGGAGGAGAATTGACAAGACTAGCAGTTGAAGTGCTGGCTCAGAACTAGTTCCATTGCATGCAGCAAGATAACCTACTTTTACTTTATTCTTATTTTAGTCTTCTAAAAAAAATTATTTTAGTCGTCATTTTTGTAGATAAGGAAAGGGAGATGTATCCCTAACCAGTGGTGAGAAGGGAGGGAAAAGCAACTGATGTGCAAGAGCATTTCAAACAGTAAAGTGACATACTCCCTCCATTTCTTCTCTTCAAATAGCACTTTAGAAAGATGGGAGCATCCCTCGCATTCCCCTTCAAGCTGTCCTAAACAATTTCTGCAGTTAATTTTTGATTTGCAGCATGTTCTTCAGTGATTTGTTTGAGCCTTGTGGCTGTGACCATAAACTTGCCAGACTAGACAGTCACGGTTCTCAGATGAAGAACTGGAAACAAACTTTTTCAGATCCCATCAATATTTGCAAATATTTGCTACTTCTGTGAATGCAACTCCCTGGAATATAACATAAAGATGAAAGGCAACAATAACAGCCAAAGTATCGTCACTGAAATTAAGATGGATAGTTGTGGAAATCTGTTTTCTGTTTTTCTCTCATTTCCTGTTCTTCAGATTGAAGTAGATAATTAGAGCTTTAGTGGCCAGTGGAAGAATGTGCTACAGTTCCATGATGACAGAAATACGGTCCTGTCCTTCACAGAAAATACAAACTGAGAGGCAATCCTCACTCTTATCTAGATTACTTTTCCAGTCCATCAGACCAGGCAAACATTTGTCCTTGTACCTGGTCTGTGCTATTTAATGTTTTCTTCTGTTTAACAATCTCTCCAGCCAGAATATTGTCCTAATGTCACCCTAATGTATATGATCATCTTGTTTATTAAGGTTTTATTGTCTAGCCCTTAGGATAATCTGATTTATAGTCCTATTTTTGATTGAGATCAATAATTAATTTTGTTTTGAACAACCAGTTATATGCCCTCTTGTAAAAGGGTGGCGAATGGCACTATCTGTGTTCTTCAAAAAGACTTATAACTTACACAAGCCAATGTTCATTTTGCCTAGACAGAGGGATATGTCTTCATCAGTGCGACTCTTCAGAGACCAGAAATACAAGGAGCTGAAAGGGCAGTGTATCGAGCATGGACGACTCTTTGAAGATCCTGACTTTCCAGCCTCGGACGAGTCCCTTTTTTATACGACGGCCCCACCAAGGAAAGTTGAATGGAAGCGCCCAAAGGTAACCAACACTCCTCATGATGAGGAGCTCTGTATTCCTCCACTCCTCTATCCTCAGTGCTAAAACTCCATCTGTTAGCCTGTTCTTCCTTCCTTTTCCCATTAATTTCTTATCAGTGTTTGACTAAGCAATCCCTCTGTGTTACATTGCTGTTCAAAATGAAAGTCATGCTTTACTGAATAAAGATAAAAAGAAAGGAGGGGTCTGCATGGCATATTCATGCTTTTTACTGTTGACACCTTTCTAAAAACAAGCAACAAGGTGAGGTGACTTCAGTCTTAGGACCATTTAAATCAGTACTCTGTATTTAATTGGAAATATTTATCTGTAACATATCAGGCAACACAGAATACAATGTGGGATTAAATTCTTAGTTTGCTGGGCCAGTGTGTAGGTACATACCTGTCTGGGTTGCTGTGTTGACAGAACAAATTCAGCTGTGTGTAAAAATTTCTTAACTGAGGTTTCTGTTCAACCCTCATTCACTTTTGAAAACCCTACTATGTAGGCACAGTATTTGCAATATAAGATCAGAGGTGTATTTTTCCTCACATATGTCTTATGTCTAGTTTAGTGTGTGTGTGTATGGGGGGGGAGTTGTTTTTTAGGAAGTCTATAACCTGTGAAAACAGTACTATAGGAAATACTATCTCCTTGTGAAAAGTTTTGGGGGATATCACTTAGTGCCAAAAACAGAATGACTTGCAGGCCCTCCTTATCAGCACATATTCACTTTTAGCTCAGAGTAAATAGCTTTGTTTCCTTCTGAGGAGAACCTACTTGTGCTTCCAGAATCTGTTGTTTAGCTCATCATGTGTGTGCAGCTGTTTTAGCTCCCAAATTTCCAATTTGCTTTGTGTATTAGGTGTACTGGAACCACAAGTGGGTTTGGATGTCTTTTGAAGTAAAGGCAAGAGGCCCTCCCAAGGAGTGTCTACCACGCAGATGTGCTTTGGGTGCCTTTGGGATGGAGTAGATTAAGTTGATGCAGAAGAAGGAAGGTGCTGTGCCCAAGAAGTGTGTTTGAAATTCTTCATTCTATGCCAAACTGAGTTTGGCATGAACCTTCCTTCTGTGCTGTGTTTCCAAGAGGTTCATTTAATCCTTCATTCTATGCCAAACTGAGTTTCTTTCTTCTTCTTTGCTGTGTTTCCAAGAGGTTCATTTAATACCTTAACAGCAAAGGTTGTCTGGAGTGACTGGAGCATTTTCCTTTGTTGATTGACATCAAGTCTGGTTGTTCCATGGCTACGCTGAAGTTAACAAGAGCATTTTGCCACTGACTTCTGTAAAACATGGATTTTACTACCAGCAACTTTCTATTCAAAGTGAACAGCTATTGTCTGCACGCAACCAATAATGTTCATGACTATTTACTATCTTTATTAGCATCTTAACAGAAGTGAAATATCATCATCTTTCTTATCTAACTGTCACTAATATACTGCACGCTTCAAACAATAATACTTGTGTTTGGAGTCCGTTAATTGGATTGCTGAGTTTTTTGCATTTGTATTCCTAAAACAATTCACAACCACAAGCAAATACTTCAGAGGAGCATAAAATCATTCTCACCTCTGACCACGGGACTTTCCCTCCGAGTGTGAGAGTGTGTAATCTGTTCTCATATGCTGACAAGTGTAGTGAAGAGGAGGGAGAAAGCCTCTTGACCAGATGCATGCAGTACTTTTATCCTTAAGCATGAAGAATTTGGCCTCAACCTTATTCACATCCACTGTTGGGATTAGGCTTAATCTTCTGGAAGCACAAACTTGGGTGGCTTTTCCTAGAAAAGTCAATGACAACATGATCTACTTCGAGTATGGTTAAGAGCTGTCCCTTGTCCTCTGTGACAAGGGGAGGCAGAGCAGGCTGACCAAGGCTGCCCTGTACTTGCCAGGTTTGCTTGCTGATGGTTATTTCTCCTGGCAGCCTGAATATTGATATTTTAGTTAGCAGAGCAAAAGTTGCTTTTCTGCTTCTGGTTTTAATTTTCCAAGAGGTGATACTGAAGAACAAGGAGAGTGAAAATAACCCTAATAGCAGTTTGGAATAAATGCAGGCATTCCAGAGTCTTCAGATTTATTTTATTTCCTTAGTTACTTGAGTCCTTCCTCCCTTCCCAGAAGAGAAAATACCATGAAACTGCTCACAACAAGGTCAGGGAAAGGCCTTTTACCTCCTAAGAGATGTGAAGCAAGAATTAGACTCAAGGCAAAGATGCCATTTTAAGCCAATCTTTTGTGTTACCCTAAAGCTCTGTTTCTCTGTTCTCCTTCCTTGCTCCAGGCTGTATTTGCCCTCAGGGTCCACCCAGGGCTGCTTCTGCACTCTGGTAGCAAATAGCCCTTCAGCAGAGGAGAGGGAGTAGATGCCTGAGGAGGTGGTGGAGGCTGCCTATGCTCTCATGGTGGGCCTGGAGAAACTTCTTGAGGGAGAGAGGCTTGTCTTTATGCATGAGAGCAGGGCTGAGGATCTACCTCGCCCACAACTGTTCATGGATTATGTCCTTTCTGCTGCTTGGAACAATGTTTGTGCTTAAATTGTTGCAGTGTTTCTCTTCTGGAGAAAGAAGTGGCCTAGCCTTGCAATATGACAGAAAGACAGGGGCCAAAACTGTCAACTGCTGAGACAGATACTGAGCAGATCTTTGCTTGCCGAGCCTATATTCACAGCTCATCCAGAAACTGCTGCTGTTGCTCCCTCTGCTCCCCACTATTGTGTGTGTGTGCAGCACATTCAGGGATGATCCCGTTAGGCCCAATGTGCTTCTGTTGAGCCAGGCAGTGCTACCTGCGTAGCCTGCGCAGATGCTCATACTAGCACACAAGCAGGTTTTTGCTTTGAAAAGCCATCTGTGAAGCTCTCTGAGCAGCTGAGGAACGCTGCCCAGTGCACCCAGAGCTGAGAGCTGTTGTTGCAATTGCTGTCACTGGTACTGGTGTCCAAACAAGGACATTGGGATCTGGAAATCCAAGCTGAGGAGAGGCAAAAGCTGCTATTCTAGTTTTGCAAATATGCTCAGTTTGTTCAGTCCCTCAGTGGCTGGGTGTTGGCCAAACAGAACAAATCCTTAGGAAGCTGTGCCTGTGTATTCCAAAGGTGAAGAAAGGAGTGTATGAGGAAAGAGGAACATGATAGAGTTTCTTCCCTCTTTATTTTCCTGCTTGTTTCTGCACCTGCAGTGCATTTTTTTTCTCATTCCAGTCAGACATGCAGCAATAGGTCATTAATAATCTGACATTAATTAATTAGGTACTTTTGAATCCTTTTGGGAAAGGGAACGAAGTCAGAGTGATGTAACTTTTATGGCACCTCAGTATTAAGTTACAGAAGAATACAAAAGGCTCTGTAATTACAGTGTGCTCACTCTCAGATGATGTGGCTTTTCAAGGAGAGAGGCAGCCTAGACTTTCCCAAGGGAGCTGTAAAGGAGACTGGAATTTCCTTTATGTTTCTTAGCCTTGAGCAGAAGAAAGTGTGTGAGTGACTATACAAAGGGAAGAGAGTACAGAAGGTGGCTTTGGGTTGTAGGGTGGTATGTGAGCCACACATTGATATTGTGCAGCTTGTTTTTATGTTGTGCTGCTCTGAGATGCCCTTGTAGGCAAAAGGGACAGTGGAAGAGTTGGCCTTGTACTGGCACGAAAATTCAGCTAGTTTCTTTTTCCTTTTCTGTCTCTCTCATCCCCATATGTTAACACTGTGGTTGTTCTTGTCCGCAGGCATCCCAAGCAAGAGCCAGGTACTCACTATGACCTTCTGCAGGTGACTTTGTGATCCTGCATCCCATTACTGGTGCTCTGTGGGGAGGACAGGATTTCCTAATTATGGTCTTTGTCATTTTAATACACAGTGTTGTGTGCTACATTTAGCTGTGATTTTACATCAACACAGTAACAGGGAAGCTCTTGGCCACCATTACCAACAGTTTTACTTACCATTAAAAGCAGATTTGGCTCATGACCTTGAGCTCCATATAGGAACCCCTTGCTCCCCATGACTGTTAAGATTAGCTCAGGTGTGTTTGGTTCCCTAAACATCCATGTGTGGATATGTAAAGGCGAGGCTTGACGGGCACCTTGGTCTTCACAGGAGGGCATTAGCCTTAGAGCCTGAAGGCTCTCCCAGGAAGGAGATATAAAAAGTCATTTGCAAAATAGGCTAAGTGGTCTAAACCTTCCATTGCTAAAGAAATATGAAATAAATTAAGACTTAACCTCGGGAAAGAAAGCTGCGGAACTGGAAGGATAATCAGAGAGGCTGATTGGAAAGTGTACATAGAAATCCTAACCGTGCTGCTTAGGCTGGAATTGCGGCAGTAGGGAGAAGGCTGTAGTCATCTGGATATGACCCTGCCATTTGCAAGGGTGCAAAAGCAAGCAGACAGGAGACCATCAGAATAAAATTATTTTTAAATGATGGGGAATGATCTTTCCTTTCCTCATTAGCTATATGTACAAGGAACTGCACAGCTCCCCAGAAGCAAAGCCTGGCACTGCTGAACGCTTGAGTTGCTAATGTGTCACGGTGTCCCTGGCGCCTGGTTCAGCTGCGCTTGGTGGCGGCCGTCTGTCCTTGCTGTGCACGTGTCAGTCAGCCGAGGAGCAGTAGCCACTTGCCAGGGGCTAGCGACCAAGGCTGCCATCGTGGGAGCGAGGACAGCCGGCTCTGGTGAGGAAGGTGTTAAGCCTGTCCCAGCCGCAGATGCGGGTAGTGGTGCAAAAGCCTGTTCTTCACCCGTTGCCCTGGCAACTGGCTGTTTGATTGGCAGCCACCTCCTGCCTGCGACTGTGCAGTTGCAATTAAGTCAAATTATCTGCAGGTTGTTACGTTTAATTCTGAGCTGCAGGGGGGGCAAGGGAAAGGCTGGGGCTGGGTGAGCACTTGTGGTACCGCCTGTGAGCTGCTGTCCGTCTGAGGTCGCGGTGTAAGCGTGCATCGTGCTGTGGGTCTCTCTAAGGTTACAATTAGTACTGCCGTGGGTTTCTGAGCCTTGT